TGCGGGGACTGGGGGATACCCAGCCAGACTTCCCATTTCCGAGTGAGGTCAGAGAAGCCTCAAGGTTAAAGTGACACCACGGCAGTGGGCTGGGGTCACAGTTCACTCAACACATGCTTCTTTACGCTGTCTCTCATGGCAGCTGTTGGGCTAATTAAGGAGCTCAGAAGACATTCATTCTCATCTTGTACGGTGGATATTGGAGAGCACCGGTCTAGTCCCTGGGGAAATTGAGACAGTGTTCAGTAGTTCTTAGCATGGGGGGATCCAGAGTCCCCCCCAGACCTGAAGAAATCCACAAATATTTCCTCTGGACGTGAGCATAAATACATCTTGGAAGCCCCCAGCCCCTGAAGTGCACCTACAGGATGGCTATAGCTCCAGACACCTGCCTGAGGGAGGTGGAGGTCACAAGTTTCCAGCATTATTACTTCCTTCTCTGTCTGTCCATACTTTGGAAAAATTCTGTGCCAGACAGACTGGCAATGCTGGAGCCCAGGTGGGAAGGTGACCGGAGTGCTACAGCTTCTATCAACAACAGGTCTCCCTGCGACGCTGGCTTCCTCCTCCATCACTGTGCCTGGACACCAAGGTTAATGACAAATCCTAATTACTTTTTGGGGCCCATCTGTTTAGGGAAGCTGACCTCTGATACATAGCATCCAGCTGTCAGTCCCTTTGCAGGCAGGGTCCGTGAGCTAATGCCTTTGAGAAGCTCCGGACAGAAACAGAATACAGACAATAAAATACATGCCTTTCCAACTCACCAAGGGCCCAGCCAGGTCAGGAGAAACCCCAGCAGCCATATTTGCCTTGGCCTACATCTGATTGGATGAGGGTCACACACCCAGGGGAGCAGGCCAATCAGAGTTCCTTCTTTGGGAATTTGGAATTAGGACTAAGAAGAGGCACAGAAATTGGGGAGGCACAGGCACAGTGCTGCTCACCTGTAATCCCAGCAAGTCTGAGGCTCACCCAACTCAGTGAGTCCTGTCTCAAAATAAAAAGTTTTGAGGATATAGCTCAGGGGTAGAGCACTTGGCTAGAATGCATGAGGCCCTGGGTTCAACCCTTAGCACCACAAAAGCAAAACAAAATAGAACTGGAGAGGGATAGCGTGGCTGTATTTTCTAAACTGTGGGATAAGAAGCAGACTTTTCACGAGGCTAGGTAATGTTCCTGTTGTTGGGTCCTCTGAGATATCTCTGAATCCTAATATTAAATTCTCTCCTTTCGCATAATGTGGTAATGTCTACAGAGGCAGCTGTCAGGAATGCTTCTCTCCCCAGCACATATATCATTCCTTCTTTAAGGAGGTAGGATCTTTTCTCTGCCCCTTGAAGAAGGTGGTGAAAAGATGTCCTGCCGGTTCCAGAAGTAGATATTAAGACACCCGGCAACTTCATTCTTTGCTTTTCTAGGCTTCAGCTGCCTTGTGAAGGAGCAGCGAGCAGCCTACTGAATGAGGAAAGGCTCACATAGAGAGAGGAGGGCCACACAGAGAGTCCCAGTGCACAGACGCAGCCCGGTCCAGCCACCAGCTGCATAAAGCTAAGGCAGCAACCATACTCGACATCCCATGGAGCAGAAAACCTGCCCAGCTGAGCCCCACCTGAATTCTTAACCAGTGAAATCATGAAAAAAATGTGATGTGTTTTGGGTAGTTTGTTACACAGCTGTGGATGACTGAGACAGCCTAGCTGGGTTTTGTTTCCTAATTCTTGCCAGCAATGTGTTCCACCTAACACAGAAAGTTAGTTATGGCCAGCACGAAGAATAAACCCTGAGATCTCACCTCAAGCTTAAAGAAGGAAAGTGGGGACATAATGAGGCCAGTTAATGGGTCCCTCTCCTGGCCATCATTTCTACCTCCCAGGACACTGAAGACAACAGGGACAGGTTGGAGGCCGAGGAGCAATGGCTTAGACTTCTCCTGGGCAGAAGCAGAGGCTCCAGGAAGGAGGCAGCTCCAGACTGCTATGTGGCACAGGCTCCTGCTTATCCCAGGCCCTCAGAGAGGCTGAATGTTGCAAAACTGCCTCAGGGAGGCCTGAGGACTGTTGTCGCTTGGAACTCAAGCCAGCTCTGGAAGCACTGGGAGACACCGGTGGGTTAACGTATATGAGCTGGGAGGAACACTGGGCCAGCACAAAGGAACCTTCAGATCCCATGGCGTCCCTTCCAAACCTGAGCTCTTCCAGATGTCAGGTTCTGTAGAGCAGCAGTCCCCAACCTTTTTAGCACCAGAGGCTGGTTTCATAGAAGACAGTTTTCCCATGGATGGGGGTTGGAAGTGGACGGTTTCGAGATGATTCGAAGGACAGTGCAACCTAGATCTCTCGCCTGCGCAGTTCACAGTAGGGTTTGCAGCCCTGTGAGACTCTAATGTCCCTGCGGATCTGCCAGGAGGTGGAACTTAAGTGTTAATGCAAGCAAAGAGAAGTGGCTGTCCACAGGCCAGGGACTGGGAACCCCTGCTGTAGGGTTTGGAAATTTGGGGATAGATCTTGAGGAAAGACCTCATAGTTACGAGCAAGTTTAAGAGTCAGCGGGCAGGGGTGTATACCTTGCTTCTCAGTGACCTTTGGCAAGTGACCTGGGCTCTCTAAGCCTGTTTCCTCCTCTGCAAAATGGAGATGGCAGTAGCACTGGTTTGACAGGGTTGAAAGGAGCCTTTCATGAATTAATTCAGAGAAAGTTTTGAAATACAGGGTTGGTTGGGCACATAGAAAGCCAAGTGGATCCCATTGTGATGACTACTTATCCTGCTCATTCACGGTGATTTGACGCCTCTCCCAGAAGGCTTTCGCTCAGATAGTAGGAAACTCAGCAGGACCGAACGGGAACAGGTACCTGCAAGGGGGATGTGACACACCTGCAGTTTTAGCAGTTAGAAGGAGCTCCCGTGCTCTGCAGACACAGCCAACAGCACTGTGCGGGGTCCCCATCAACACCCCAGATACTGTCAAGTCTGCCCAGGTGGGATCCTGAGACTCACACAGACTCATCTGATGAGCAGAGAAACTGAGATCCTAAAGTCTCGTTAACCAAGAGCCTCCGGTGCTGCAGTGGGAGCCCCAGCCGGCAACCCTCCTGCCAAGCTCACTCCCTGTCTGATGTCGCACCTGGCTTTCACCTGACTCCACTCTGATCCCCTCGCCGGGAGGTGTGGGTAGAACAGGAACGCAGCAGGCCAGAGCTCAGAGCTGCAAATAGAAATGGGTTTGCCTCGGGCCACACTAGCAGCGAGAACTCTTCCGGGACCAGACTGCCCTCTCCGCCCAGGAGCCAGGCACAGAAAACGCTCCATCTCAGCAGAGTACAGCATGTCAGCTCAGATTTGGCTCCGCTTCACTGGAAGCCTGGCAAACTTCCTTCAGGGGAAGCCAGGGCCCGAGAGAACTCCAGGGCCCGCCAAACCAGAGTCTCGGGCACGGTTGTAGACCGGGAGCATCGGCCAGTGTCAACAGCCTGTTCTTTTCTTTAAAAGTCACCGTTAGTCACCATCGCTCATGAAACACGAGAGAGGCAGCACAGTAATCTTCTGTACAGAAGATTTCAAATGTACCAAGAGGCATCGCGTCACACAGAGAACACGTAGCAGAGCTGGGGTTTGAACTTGGTCTGACTTTGGAACCGTAGCTCTTCCGCAGGACACTGTGCTGCCACACCGAGTTGGTGGGAGAATGTGTCAGCCACGGAGGACAGGCAGGGACCCTGTCAACCCCACTCTAGAGTGTCCAAGCTGGGATCCACCCCGTCCACAGGAATCCTCTTAACTTTATCTTCAGCGGTGTCTCTGGGGCCATATCTGCCTGACCTGGTCTGACAGCCCTGGCTGTGGCTGATTGGACCAGGGATGACACCAGACAGAAACCAGCCAATCAGAGTACTTTCCCAGGACCTGGGATCCCGGACAGGATTCTACACTCTCCAGCCCCTTGGACACAAGCGATGCAGGAAGAGACTGGACAGCAGCATCACTGGCCGCCGTCACTCGTTCATGTAACTGCTATTGTGCTGTGCACCCACTCTGCACCAGGCTCTGACAGCAGTGAACAGAATGGGCAAAAATCCCCACCTTCAAGAGTTTTGCATACGAGAGTGGCACGCGAATAGTCAAGCTAATGGAAAGGGTACAAAATATGACAGGGGGTGAGTACAGTGCAGGAAGAGGGCTGAGAGCGGTACAGTGCTTGCTTCCAGCTTCTACATTATCATCCGTATCCTTCCCTCCCTCAGGATGAGGCAGCTGCTGTATGACATGCATACAACAGCCCCCCCGCCTACACACACATGTATATAGTGGTAGGGTACAGTATGACTTTTTTGGGCAGTGCTGGGGATTGAACCCAGGTCCTTTACACAGAGCTATTTTTTAAAAAATTATTTTTAAGATTGGGTCTTTCTAAGTCACTAAGTTGCCTAAACTTGGTATCCTCCTGCCTCAGCCTTGTAGATGTGCACAGCACACCCAGCTGGCTACAACGTGACATTTCAATACATGCATAATCAGACCAAGGTAACTTGCATACCCATCACCCTAGATACGTATCATGTTTTTGTATCGGGAACATTCAAAATCTCCTCCTCTAGCTATTTTAAAACATTCAATTACTTGCCGTCAACTGTGGCTGTCCTTTTGTGCCGGAGAACATTAGAAGGCATCGCTCCTGTCCACTGCAGCCCTGCGCCCGTTAACCGTCCTCTCCCCAGCCACCCTGCATGCAGCCTTCCCAGGCTCTGGGAACTACTGTGCTCTATACCCCAGCAGGCCCAGCCTTCCAGCGCCTGCAGGTGAGCTCAGGCACTGCCACCTCTACACCCACCTCCAGCCCAGCCTGCTCTCCCCACCCCCCACGGCGAGGACTCCGGGTCTGTCCGGTGCCAGGTCCTTTCTGACGGGTCACAAAGGACAATGCCCGGAGGCAGCCCGGCCCCGCAGCCCACCCCAGCCTTCCTGCCTTAGCGGCTTTCAAGGGCAGAAACGTCAGCCTCACCCAATCCGCTCCTGCTCCATCTCCTCCATTTTCTCAGCCCGAGCGATCACCCTGTTGATGATTTCCTTCTCCTCATCTGTCAGCTCCTCCTGCTTCCTCTGTCTGTCTGTCTGGCCACTGGGGTGGACAGACCAGCCTGCCTGGAGCCTGAAAGGCAATTTGAGAAGGTGTGAGTGAGGCTGGACAGAAAACAGATGGGATTTTATTTATTTATTTTTCTTGAGACAGACTCTCGTTTTGTAGCCCAGGCTGGCCTTGAACTCTTGGTGATCCTCCTGCCTCAGCCTCCTGAGCGCTGTGATTACGGGCATGCACCACCATGCCCAGTGCCCATTGGATTTATTCGTATTAAGTGCTTGGTAACCTACATGGCGGGGACTCCACAGATAGCATTTGGAGGAGGTGCACGACTTGGAGGAGACTTCCACAGCTGGAAGGGAAACAACTCTGCCAGGTACCCTGAAGCCCTGGGTCCCAGGATGACCCCAGCACCTGCCTGGCACAAATATGTTTTGCTTGGGTCCCAGAATTTAAAAAAATAAATCTAATCTAGTTGCCAGCTGGGTTTACACAGATCCTTTGACTTCACAAAAACATCTATGTTTCTGGCTTCAAAGTCTCCAGTAACATTTTGGGTTCTACTCTGCGCTCTTCCTGCTCCTTTAAAAAAGTAAACACTGCTAGAGCACTACCTGGGTGCCCGGGTCACCTTTCTGAACTCTCATGTCATCCCTACAAGGCAGACTGTCAAGCATCCTGGTTTGGCAGCGGCAGATAGGCAAGAGAAGTTAGATGGTCCTAAGGAGCAGAGGCTGCTGGGAGCAGAGCTGGCGCTGAGGCCTATGGGTAACCAGTATCTCCTCCCCTAGCACCATGGTCCATGCCTCAAGCCCTGAACTGCAGTAGCTGAGTGGACCTCAGGGCCATACACCACTTGAATTCCTGTCCCTATCAGGGGAAATTCTCTTTCTCCAAAGCCTCAGAAGTCAGTGCCCTAGTGGTCACCAGCGTTGGCCACATGCCCTGCTCTGGTCACAAAGGAGGCATGAAACTGGCTTTGACATCTAGAGCTGGAGATTAAAATCTCATCACTCCTCTCATTCTCTGCCCCTTCCCCTCTCCACTGGTTTGTTCTGGGGAAGCAGATGTCTTGAGCCCAGTGTTCTTGTGAGAAAGGGAAGAGGGCATGGCTGGAAACATGGGTGAGGAAACACAGGTAAGACCCTGGAGCAGGGGCTTCTGGGATGACAAATGCCAGTCACACTTGAAACCTCCAGTGGCACCTGAATGACTTAGGATAAAGTCCAGAGCTGAGCTGAGTGGAGTCCTGTGGTGTGTGTGTGTGTGCGCGCGCGTGGTACTCAGAGCCTTGCACATACTATGCACATGCCAGCCATCTCATACCACTAAGCTACACACCCAGTCCTGGACTCTTTAAAATGGTTAATGGGACATTTACCTTAATAAAAGGAAAGCCCCATCTTCTTGCCTATTTGTAAAGTTCTACCTGCTCTGTCCCTTCCTCCATGTCAATGTCCTTGCTTTTCCTTGGTCACTACAATCCACCCACAGGGGCTTCTGGATAGTCCTGGACATCAAAAACTTGTTTGTGCCCTAGGGCCTTTGCACTTGCTGTCCCCCCAGATGTCCACCTGCCCCCTTGTCTGCCTGGGGCTGGTCTCAGAGAGGCTGTTGTTGATCTGTCATTGCTCTGGTTCATGCTCTCCTTTGCACCTGTCTCTAGATGAGGTTGTCTCCCCATTTTCTTGTTACCTGTTTATGACCCCATCTTCCCCCACTGGAGTGAAGATTGTGGGACTGTGGGGACCCTGTCTGTCTCCGGTTCTCTACTGTGTTCCTGGCATTCAGATCAGTACCTGAGAGCAGGCACAGAAGATCATCTTTCATACAGGACCCGGTCCTTTGTGGTCCATGAGTGACATGCGGATACAGGAAATAGAAAGTGGTCAGCCAAGGGACCTCGGACAGCTGCCTGAGAATGAAAGGGGCTCCATTGTGATCTGGTGACCCCAAAACCTTAGTCACTGTTTTCACAGGTTCCTCCCAAGGCCCCGAGGTGGCCCTGGTAACAGTCATACAATTAGGAAAATGTGCAAAAGTCAGAGATTTTTGTCCCTGATCTTGCGGGCCCCTAAAGCATACAAGCCCCTGGCCCTGCACAGTGCCAGTCCTGATAAGCCTGGAAGATGAACCAAAGGAGGGTGAGGAGGAAGGGGACGGTTGGGCTGGCAGACAGGGGTCTCAGCAGAACCATGGAGCAGAGAGCAGCCTGAAGAGGGAAAGGCCAGGGTGACGGCCATCCTGAAGGTGACCTCAAGGATCTCTGCCTCTTGCTACCCACATCCTCCCATGTACACCCCTCCTATGGGAAGCCAGAGGCGTCTGCTTTAAGCCACTAGGTTTGCAGCATAACTGGAAAGTGGCCCGGCTGAGGACGGAGATGGCGGGCAGGAAGCTCTGTTGCCAGGGTCTATGTTCGGCTCCATCTCTGCATTATGGATTCTTGCCACCCCTGGAGCTTCAGACCTCAGTGTGATGGGCTCCCGGCCTCACAGGCCAGGGTCAGCCTGGCTTCCCTGAGAGTCTGCTTGAGGCATCATGGCTCCGGCAGAGGTGTGGCAGGGCTGTGTGGCTCCGCGAGGGAAGAATCGGCTTCTGAGCAGATCTGGAGGTTGGCAGAGGCATCTGCTTGTAGCAGCAGGATGGAGCCCCTGGCTTTTTGCTGCCAACCCAGTCCGGCAATCCCTAACCATCAGGACTTCTCCGGAAGGGAGATCCTTCCTGTGTCACATCCACAAGCAGGTGGTTTGACTTGTGACAGCGGGAACAGCCTTATGCAAAACAAGCCCAAGAGTGACAGCCATGCCCTTCACTGAATCCTGGCGCTTAGAAGCGAGGTGGTCATTGGGCTCACCTTGAAGCCTGTCTGCCGTAGCTGCCCTGTTTGAGGCCTCACTCTCTTCCCCGCTGTGCACAAGCACCCCTCACCCTGATGCCTCCCCCACTACTTTTAAGGGATACAGCAAGCTCCTGCATTATGAAGACCACCCACCCTCCCCGGAGTGGCCTAGCCGTAACCCATATCAACCCCGTGCAGGAGAAGTGTCTCATCTGCCCTGTCCTTCCGCCTTGCAGCTCCCTCCCCTTGGCCCGTGAGTCCTCTTTGAGTCTCCCTCCATTGATTTCCTGCTCCAACAGAGCTCAGTGAGCCACCGTGAACTGGGCCGGGCTCAGTGGAGACCTCCAAGGACAGGTCCCTGCAGCTCCGGGTCTGGGCACAGTCACGGCCATGGTCATGGTCAGCTGCAGGCCACACCTTTCTGGGCTGCATGTGTGCAGGAGACTTTGGCTCCTGGATGCTCACAGCTCCAGAAATACAGAAGCAGGATGGGTGCTCCCAAGGCCCCGCCCAGGGTAACCATGTCATCTGCAGGCTGCGGGAGCAGAGGGCCGCTGGAGACCGCCAGCAGCTCGCCAACCCTTCCCCCACTGCCTGCCCCAGAGCTCGCAGGTGACAAACAGCTCATCCAGTGTTTGGAAATGTCTGATTGGTCTCAGTGGGATCCTGCAAGCCTCCTGTGGATTTTCATGTTTTAATTCCAAAAGCAAACGGAAATGAGAGGGTTTTTCAAACCGAAGACTTTGATCTCCGGGGAAAGGGCCTGTCTGGGTCCCCTGGGCTGGGAGCACTGTGGGCATGGCGGCTTCAAGAGTTTGTTCTCGTGATAAGATGGTGACTACCTTGCCCTGAGCCGCTGAGCCCAGGATGTCAGCTCTGTGTCCTTAGAACAGAGTTCAGTGTTTGTTGGGATAATTTTAAAAAGCAGTGCTGTTGACTCAAGTGTGGCTTTCCTGGGACAAGCCACTGGGCGGAGTGTATCCAATCCAGGAAATGCCCAGAGGACATACTGTGTGCCGGCCCAAGCCTCCCAGACATGGTGGAGTCAATGCCTGGCACCTGGGTTTGCCACCCCTGGCAGTCGCATGGGGAGCTCGGCCTACTAGGTGGGTGATGCAGGCAGGCATCCATGGGAAAGGCGCACTGGGACCATAGCACGCGGCAGGCATCCTGTGACCTCTTGTGACCATTCTCCTCATCTATGAGGTGCCCCAAACTTGCATGAGGTGGACTCAAACCAATGAACCAAAGCCCTCCCCTGTGCTGGGCTTTGGGAGCAGGCTGAGGAGCTCACTAACTACCCTGGGGCTGCTGAAACGGACAGCCTTAGAAACTTGGTCCCTCAGTCTCTGTGAGGGTGCCATGTCCTAAGGGAGGCTCTGAGGGAGGAGGATGGGGCCGCACAGCCTAGACCCCTCTCCTGGCTCTGTCCTGCCCGGGCGTGTCACCTGAAGCGCAGCTTACTTAACACAGCTGAGCCTTAGTCTGCACATCTGTCAAAGGAGATGCTAGTGGTGTCCCAGAACGCACAGCGGGCTCGCCAGAACAGGCGAACAGGCGAGTAAAGCACTTAGCAGATGCTCAAAAAAGGTTGGCTTGGATGTCTTCCTCCCCCTTGTCTTCCTCCTTCAACATCTGGGCATAGACGTGTGTCTTAAATCCCGGCCATAGTGACAATTCAGGGGGAAATTACCTTATAGAGCTGCACACGGAGCAGGCTCTGAGTGTGAATGAATGAGTAAGTGCTTTAATAAGAAGCAGAAGGAAGAGAATGATTCACAGATTGTAAGATGGGAGGGGCCAAACAGAATAACTCAGTGTGCAGCCAGGTCTCCGGCTGGAGTTGGCTTTTTAAAGTTAGAAATCTTTGGACATCTGCAGACCCCTCCAATGCCTTGGTGACAGAAGTTCCCAAATTCAATTTCCCATCAATTTGTGCAAAAATGCATGTAGGAGAAAGAGAAAGTGTTATGTGTGTGTGTGTGTGTGTGTGTGTGTGTGTGTGTGAGAGAGAGAGAGAGAGAGAGAGAGTCAGATGAATTGAAATTTCCAGGCAACCTAGCCTGAATTTAAGTGGCAGGAATTTCTATCAGTACAGGATGTTTATTTTTGTGGCTTTATTCTTTGGTGAAAATAGTGAAAAGTTCAAAATAACACTGTTATCCATCAATAGGGAAAGCTGAATAAACTGTTGTTTTTAAGATGATTTGTTACACAGCAATAGCTAACTGATACAATATCTGCTTTGGCAAGAAAGAAAAAGGAACACAAAGCTTTTTAGATTCTCTACACGTACTTTACAGATTGGCATTGTTTTAAATCACAGCAGTGTAAAGTTCACCATATTTTTTAATGCTTTCAGCCACACAAGGTCTTTATCCAGCTCTACTTTTACCTTTCTTAAATATTTAGCTTTGGAATTAAATATTACTGGAAGAAAAATTTCACTGCTAACCGGTCTAAAGATCACTGCAGCTGACCCACTTGTTTTCCAGATGTGTGACAGGCATGAGAGGGAAGAGAGTTGTTGAGAAGTGTTGAGACACCAGGCTTCCAGATGTGTTTCATCTGTTACCTGGAGCACCGGCCTGGGCGCATCTGGAGAGACTGGAAGGGTCGCTCCCCCCAAGGCAGGCCTCAGATGCCGCCGAACAAAAGGACGGCAGCCCTGACTCCAGTGGTCTGTCCCTCAAATCTTGCAAAGGATAGCCTGCCGCCTCTTTCCTGCTTCCTACCTTGACACAACAGTCACGTGATAAATACCTGCCAGATGTCTCTATTAATAAATTAGATCTCCCCAAGGCGTGGGATGATGGAAGGGCTGTCAGGGCACAGAGGCTCTGAAGCTTTCCAGTGTGCAGAAAATTAATCCTTTTGCTTTCCCTTCTTCTTCTCTCCTGCCCTTCCCCCAGGATGCCAACGTGGCAGGTGTCACAGGAAGTCTCTTTACAGCTCAGTGAATGAGTCTGATACCTCCGGAAGGAGAGGACGGGGAGGGAGGGTGGCTGCACCTCCAAACGTCCTACATGTGCCTGGCTGCTGCAGGGGTCTGTTTGGGTGAAATGCATCACGGCCAGATTAAGGGGTGCAGAGGGATGGTGTTCCCTCACAGGGCCAGGGCAGGTGGGGGGTGACCTGCTGACTTTTCAGCCCGATCACCCCTGCTCAGCCTTTCTGGAATTCTGCACACTCTCCCGCTCTCTCATGAAGGCGTGGGCTGTGCAGGCGACGCTCCCCACACGATGCTCTTCTGTCGCCTGTTGGGCCGCACACCCGTTTCCAGGAAGCTCTCCCACCGTCACCCCAAGTCCGGGCCAGGTGGCCCTCCTCATGGTCCCACCACCACCAGCTCCTTACACTGGCTGTTTGTGCCTCCCACTGGACCCACTCATGCTTTGGCTAAGTCTGTATCTCTGGGTGCTGCGCACGGTGTTCAGTGTTTAACAAGTGCTTGGTAAATATTCTTGGGAGGAAGGAGGAGAGGGAGGGAGAGAGGGAGGAGAAAGGAGAGACGAGAAGGAAGATGCGGGGGTGCGGGGCGAGTGGAGGAAGCGGTGGTGGAGTAGGGAGAGGAAGAGGACAGACATACGCTCCACCTCCCGGCCTGCAGCATCGGGAGGGCTCCGAGGGCGTCGGGACCCCTGTGTCAGGAGCCTCTCTGCGAGGTGCTCCTTTATCAGCTCACTGGGCCTCTGCAGCTCTCCCTGCCAGGTCTTCACAACAGAGTCACAATTTCATAAAAAGCAGATCTGGCCTGGTGAGCATCCTACCAGCCAGTGACAGAGAGAGAGAGAGAGAGAGAGCCCTCAGGTGGTCTTTAATAGCTTGCTTGAATCTCCCGTTCAGCAGATGAAGATCCTGGGGTACAGGGCAGGGAGAAGAATTTCCCTGGGGTCAGTTGGCTAAGTGCCATGATGTGTAGGCAGCCTGTAGAGGGCTCTGAGGATGTGATTACTTGTGTCCAAAGAGGTGACACATGGCACGGGGCTCTCCCTGTGGAGCTGAAGTAAGCAGGGCTGTGATTCACTCTCATCTGGCTTTGCTGGGTGCTTTACAGTTTGCAGAGCTTTCCTGTGCCTCACATTCGATCCTCCACCACCCACGGAGGGAGGACAGGCAGGGTGATCACACACAGTGCATAAAAATACAATCAGTGCTCACTGGGGCGGGGGGCAGTGTCCAAAGCCTCACGGACAGACCGACCCAGAGTCTGATTAGAGCAACGATCTCTCCACAGTTTCTAAATTCATGTAGGAACCGGAGACAGGCTGCTTTGCATCCTGGCTAATCTTTTCCTGGGCCCAGCACCCAATCTCTTATGCATGTTTAGGAAGCGAATCCCCTTAAAGCACAAAACATGGGGCTCTTGAGCCACAGGTTTTTTCCTGGGAAATCGGGGCAGCCTCCAATGAGGCGGCTGAGGAGGATGCAGCGCGGAGCAGCCCACACGCGCTCACCATTCACCAGCAGCGGTGATGAAGCTACCGTTTTCCTGGTCTGAGGACTGCGTTTCCAGCCAAATGCTGCGGAAATGGGCAGCAAATGATCCATAACCTCTCTGTGACTCCACGGATTGCTACAAAGAATTATTGAGAGCACTTCTTGGGAACGTTTCCCATTTTGTTTTAAAGATTTCATACATTTTTTTCTCTGAGATAGGCGTTTTCAGTTTATTTTTTAGTAACTTGACTTTTTGAAAGACATATAAAAGGCACTAGTTTTCAGCTATCTGCCTTTAAGGGCAAGCCATCTCGATGAGAAAAAGGATAAAACTCAGAATGGAGAAAAACAAAAGTGTCATAAAATACTCACTGTTCTTTATCACTGAAGGAAGGCAAAGCAAGGAGAGAAAGAAAAATGAATAAAGTTAGATAAGAAATCTTGTAATCATGCCAACACATAATGGATGCAACAACCCAATGATGTGAATTTCAAATAGACATCATCAAATTGATCTAATTCAATTTTTCTTCAGACATTGTCTTATTTCAGCACATCTAAGACAGGGCTGCCTCCATGAAGGGCTACAAAATCCACATCCACGATTAAGATGACCGATCCATTCAGCATATTAATGAACTGAGCATTCCTATATTTGAATAAGGATCTCGGGGACAGCAAAGAGAAATCTCTCGATAATAATGTGATTGCCACCCTCCTGGTTTCTGTTATGTCAAAGGCCGGATGTGTGTGCATGTGCACATGAATAGCCCCATGGCCCTAAATGGTAGACTGCACCAGGTCCCAGGCTGGGGAAGCAAGTTCTGTCTGAGAAGGGACCATTATTTCCATTTCCTAGGCATGATCGCCCTCCCTCTGTGCCTCAGTTTCTACCTCCTCTCTCTGGCCCTCTCTGGCTGCATACTTGAGCGCTACACAGAACCATCGTTCAGTTACCAGTGTCTCTCCCCACAAATTCCCAACTCGGAGAGCTGAGCCACTGCCCTGACCACGCCAGAGGCAGCTGCACAGTGCCTTTCAGATCCCATCCTGCCGACTTCAGACACCATCACTAGGCTCCAGGAGGCCGCAAGGGGAAGACATTTGGAAATCACAAAAACAGTGTCTGGCCAGTGGTTAACGAAGCTGGGGTTCCTTGATTTACTGGAGAAGGACATGAGCACAGCCTGCATTCACACATCACCCCTGCAGTAGACAGCATGTGTGATGACTGTAACTCACCCACTGGCATTTATTGAAAAATAATTTTAATACCTGGAGAAAACACAGTAGCAATCAAGGCAGCCGGAGGCACTGGGAATGCCGAGATGCTTCGTGGGGGCCCAGGAGCACTTTAATGAAACAGCATCCAGACTGTTTGTAAGGCAGATTTTTTGGCTTCACATCAAATAAAGTAAATTCTGACGGATGGGATTTTAATTAACTGACATTTCTTAAATAAAATAAATATTTTACCGCATCCACCCTCCAGGCAACTGTTTATCTTAGAGAGACACACGTTTTGGCAGACAGAATATCATCTGCAAAGTCAGTTTGGCTCCAAGAAGACATTATGGGAAGGGTTCAGGAAACTAGAAGTTTCCTATGTAAAAGGAAACCTACCAAGTTCCACAGTGTCTTCAAAATGCCAAAACTTTCAGGGCCCGAGAAGGTTTAAGGTAGAGGTCACAAACACAAGCATGGTGGGTAAAAACAAAAACTCTTTCCCCAGTATATAAATAGGTCCTAGAGAAGAAAAAGCAAACCTTTCTAAACACACATCAGGGGTTGCTGGAAAGGAGCAGAATTTTCTAAGACTCTGTTCCTTTTCAAAACAAACAAAATAGACATCATCAAAACACAAACCTTTTTCTCTTCCAAAAACTCTGTTATGAGGAAGAAAATGCATGCAGCACACTGGGAGAAAGTATTTGCAAAATGCTTATTTAACGAAGGACTTTTAGCTAGAACATTAGAGAAACATGTAAAATTTAACTACAAAAGAGAAATGATCTGATTTTTTAAATGAACAACAGATTGGAACAGATACTTCAACAAAGAGGTTGGATAAATGGCAAGATTATATAAAATGTTCAGCATCTTCAATCATCAGGGAAATGCAAATTATAAAGTACAATGAAATACAACTGTGCACATACTAGAATGGTTAAAAATAAAAAGACTGAGCGTAACAAGTGCTGGAGAGGTAGTGGGGAGGATGGAACTGTCAGGCACCGCTGGAGGGAATTTTTAAAATGGTATACCCCATTTGGAGAGCACTTTGGTAATTTCTTAGAATGTTAAAGCAATACCTACCACGTGACTGAAACATTCTACTCCTAGGTAATTACCCAAGAGGAATAAAATTATATTTTATACACAAACAGTTTTGTTTGTGCTAGATGAAAGCTGGAAACTATACAAATGCTCATCAATGGTCGTATATCGCACATTCACACAAAGGAATACAATACAGCAATGAAAAAGGAAAACCCCACTGACACGTAAAATCATAGGGTTGAATCACAGAATAATCCCACTGAGTGAAAGGAGGCAGATATCTCTCCCCTTTCCACCCAAAAGTATATATAGTGTATGATTCCAGTTATATAAAGTATAGGGGATGCAAATTAATTTAAAGTTACAGAAAAGAGATTAGTGATTACTTAAGGACAAGTAGGGAGGAGCCCGGCAAGAAAGAGGGACAAGGAAGCGGCACGGGGAGGCTCTGATGGCCACGGCCATGACCTTGAGTGTTGGGCTGGTTCCCAGCATAGACATATGTTTAAAACTCATCCAGCTGTACTTTCAGTGATAAAGGTCTGCTGACTACACCTTTGTAAGGCCATTAAAAATGAGGAAGAGAATCCAGTAAACTGCACCCAGAACAGGCAGCCCAGAGTCTGACTCATCCTCCTGACAAGACAGGGAGCCAGGCCTGAGACCCCACACTGAGTGAACGCGATCTCAGCAGGAGCAAACGGCACTCTCTTGGAGGAAAAATATCCCGGGGTAGGTGCCCGGGATCCGCGCAGACTGAGCTCACAGGAGCACATCACCAGGCATTCAAAGAAGCAAGCCACTGGGCATCCAAGTCTGCAGGGAGCTTTGAGACAGACTGGGCTGTCAAGGGCTCTCACCCATGGTGTGCTGGGAAATCATGGGCAAAAGTCCCTCGGGGACTGAACTCAAGCACCAATAGGAGGCCACATTCACAGCCAGGGAGAAATACACAGTATCATGCCACTCACTATACAGTACTTCCGCCACGCAAGTACAGCGAACATCAATAACCTAAAAGTGATTCATTTTGAGTGCTTGTCACCTTTGCGTATAACACAAGTTAATATAATCTAGTGTTTAATAACTAATGGCTAGCAACCGGCTTGCAAAATTCTTGAAAACGTAACCACAGTTATAATGAATCCCTGGGGCGCAGATCCACTCACCATGAAGTTACTATATGTAAAAGGGTCAATGTGGAGTAAAAACTGAGCAAGGACCAGTAAACTTGAAAAATAAATGGTTAGGAAGACACTAAAAAGAAAAAATTTTAGAAATAACAGGTGTAACTGTTAAAATCCTAAAACTGCAGAATGGGGCTCAATGGGAAATTACTATGCTTCAAAGTAGTGTATGGCCAGGGTAATAACTGCAAACAAAAACAGCCTAGCTGGGTGTGGTGGCGCACGCCTGTAACCCCAGCACTGGGGAGGCTGAGGCAGGAGGATCACCATGAGTTTGAGACCAGCCTGGACTACAAAGTGAGTTCCAGGTCAGTCTCAACTACATACTGAGTCCTTGTCTCAAAAAACCAAAAATAAATAAATAAATAAGAAATAAAAAGAAAGCCTAAAATATATAAAGCAAAATTCATAAAGTCACAGGGAGAAGGGGATAAACCCACCATTGTTGAAGATTTTAACATTCTACTCACAAGCAGATAGAAAAATAGTAAAGGGGAAAAAACGTCACAAACACAATCCCTCGGCTTGTTCTAATAGGTGTGAGTGATCTTACAATTATCAGAGAGTGTGCAGTTTTCTCACAGAGCCTCTGGGTGTATTCTTAACACACTGCAGAGCCAGAACCGTCCCAAGCACACTCTCCGACCACAAGGCAGTTAACATGGAGATCAATATCAGAGACACTAGTCAATTAACAATCCCCAAACACTCAGAAAGTTTTAAAATATGGTATGCATCTAGATAATCCTTAGGTTACAGAAGAAACCCTAAGATACAAGCTAAAGCCCATCGAAGGAGGAAACCATTAAAATGCAATTTATGGAAGCTCGTGGGCAATCTGAATGCAGCGTCTTATACATCGGATGTGTAGCCACTAATAGTGGAGGAGGGGAGGCGGGAGGAGCTAAACGTACAGCAGAAGCAGTTCGCGAGGGACAGAATAAGCCCAAGAAGTGAGAAAGGATGATCCGCTAAAGATAAGAACGGAAATTTATAAAGTACCAATGCTGGGGTAAAACTGAACAACGCACAAAGAAGAACACTGCTTTTTTGACCTCCTTCCCAACCGTATAGTTACCTCCAAGAGGAAGTCTCAGTCTGTCGATAATCAGTGTTTAACACTTGCCCGTGGCTTGGGTCCCACCGTCTTATTATAACTGTTAGCACATATTAATTGTACAAAATAATAGATTTCCTTTGTGACATTTTCATACACACATACATTTTAATCATACACTCCCTTTTTTGTGGTATTTGGGGATTGAGTGCAGGGCTTTCATGCTAACTCCCCACAACTATTTATTTATTTATTTTTGAGATAGGGTCTCACTAGTTGCTAAGTTGCCCAGGTGGGGCTGGACCTTGCGATCCTCCTGCCTCAGCCTCCCACAGTACTGGGATTACAGGTGTGCACCATCATGCGGGCCTTGGTCATAACCCTTTAGAGGCTCCAGTTGGGAGCTTTGGGGAGGAGCCTTGGGGAGGCTAAAGTATATAGGCAGATGCAATAACACTGTTTCTTTTGTTTATTTATTTTATGGCTATCTTTTGTTCCTGGAAGGCAGAGGTCCATTATTTGCATTTGTCCACTTCTGACCTGTACTTTCCTTGTTAAGTGACAGGGTTTGCTTTGTGAGCTGACACAGCACACAGCAATAGGGCTGCACACACAAGGTATAAAGTGAAAGACGCCTGCGGGCCCACACTCAGGGAGACTCAGGACTCTAGTAAGGAAGCGTCTCCGTCAAGAATCCTCTCCATAGCCCGTGGGCAGGCCAGAGCCTCTCCCCAGCATTTACCCGCCACCTCTCTTACCTTCAGTTCTGGGGCCTGAACCCAGAGTCTCGCATGCTAGGCAAGCCGCTGAGCTCCAACCCACCCCTTCCTAAAGTTCTATTCTGAGGCAGGCTGGCGTTAAGACAGATGCCCAGGGTGGGCTGGCATTTACGATCCTCCCGCCTCCGCTCTCTCAGTAGCTGGGGGACCGGGCATGGGCTACCACCTGGCTATTCCTTCCCTCCCTCATGACCATTTTATCACCTGGTCTACCTAGAATGGAAAGTCTACAACTGGGGCCTAACATGCCAATCAACAGATCCTCCAAGGAGAGCACCGTTAAAGCAACTAGAGGTCGTCTATTCAACAGGTGTGGGTGGGTGACAAAAACACACAGAGCAGACGGGACATTCCGACCCCACGGGGCACAGGGGCAACCGAGGACCCCGAAATCTCACGCCCTCATTTATACCACTAGTTTCTCTTAGTTCGCTGAAAAGAAAGTTTTGTGCTATTACCTGTTTGTTCCTTCTTTGGAAGAGAGTCTCTGTCTATGTTTTGTGTTATAACACACAGTGTACGAGCTATTTTGCTCTGAAACTTTATTTTTCCATAAAATAAAAAGTAAAGATAGCAGTAGCTCCTGAAATGTTGACATGGAAAAATTTTGATCCAAAGTTATCAGCTCTTTGGTGTATTTTTTTTTTTTAAAGAGATGCCATGAATTTGGATTTAGAGGAAGACTCCCAGTTCTTACATGATCTGGCCCCAAATTAAAGCATAAACCAAAACGCACACTTCTGCAGATCAGAGCCAGCCTGCCGCCCGCCAGTTTATGAGTTCAGTCTGAGTTCCGTGTCCTTCTCTGACTTCCGAGGAAATCGAGGCTGCAGCGGGGAAGGGCTGGGATCACACAGTGAGTTTGCTCGGACCCCAGTGTGTCCCTCGCCCCCGGCTCCGCGCTGGCCCTGTTCCCCGTGTTCTTCTAACCCCTTGGAGCAGCCGAGCACTGAAGTTCCCAGGAGTTCCCGCCCCACCCCGGGGAGGAGCCTCCACCCGCTTCCTCAGGATTCCTCCCTTCTTTCAAGGACAGCAGCTGGGCCCCCGGCAGCCAGGCCAGCCCTCCCAGGAGGCCAAGACTCACCTGGACTGCAGTGGACGCTGGCTGGGGTACGTCCATCGGCTGGAGCTGCCGCTGACCACGGTGTCGGTCATGGTGGAGGAAGGCTCGGGCTCTGGCTCCTGGAAGACACCAGCCCAGAGAGGACGTCACCAGCTGCTGGGACACCCTGGCCCTCCCTGGCCCTCCCTGGCCCTCTCCTCTCTCTGCTCTTGGCTACGTTTGCAGGGAAGTAGAGAAGGGCAGCGTCACCCAGAGTCTCCGTTTCCAGACAGGGCACCTTGAGTAGCAAGAGGGGACAGGCCCTGCTGGAAGCCACAGTCATCTAGTGGCAGGAAATGGACCCAAAGCAAATCTAAATTCACAGCTCATCACTGTGTCTCTATTGAGTTGTCTTGGCTGGCCTTGAACTTGTGACCTTCCCACCTCAGCCTCCCAGTCAGCTGGGATTACAGGCTTGGGCCACCACACCTGGCTTCTCCACCCTCGGCTCCAGCAGGACGCGACTCAAACCCAGGGCCTTTCTGCTGGAATCTGTCCTCTGACTCAGTAACCCTGGGGTATTTCCTTCCCCGCTGCAGTACTCTACATCCCAGCCATCAGAAAATCCCGCTGTTACTTCAAAGTGGATGGGGAATCTATCCGCCGCTTTGGCCTGCTCTGCTGTTCCGCAGACCCAATCTACCCACAGGTCCATGGGTGAAAGGCTTGGTCAGGGGTGGTACTTAGGGGGTGGCTGTGGATCTTTAACGGGGTGCTCTTGAAGCCAGGGGAACCCCGGTTATGCGGTCTCTGCTTCCTGGCTCAAGGAGCACGTGGTTTGCTCGTCACGCGCTTTCCCCATGACACACTGCCCTTGCACAGGCCATGCCTTGGATCTGAACCCCCACACGGTGACCCAGAGGCAGCCATGACGGTGAAGCTGACCCATACGGTCTCTCGGTTCATGCTCCACACAGCGGCCAGGGAGAGCTTGAGAAACACACCTCACAGCAACAGCCCCGCAGTGGACAGACGCAAAGTCACCACAGCCCTGGCAGTTCTGCTCCTAGGAATCTCCTGGCAAGAAATAAAAACACGGCACACAAACTCTAACGCAAATAAAATGCTCACAGCCACGTCACTCACGACAGCCACAAAGTGGAAACCAGTATTCATCGACCCTTGAATAAATAAACCAGGAGGCGTCTCTGTGCCCTGAAAATTATTCAACCACAGAAAGAAATAAAGCATTGCCATGAAAGGTCATATATTGTATGCTTCCATTTACATGAAATAAACGGAATCAATAAATCTGTAAGAGACAAAAAGTGGATAATCGGTTGCCTAGGACCGGAGGGGACTCAGGGGTACAGAGTTTCTTTACAGAGGTACAGATAAAACTGTTTTAAAATCCACTGTAGTAAGGGCTGCCTGACCCTGAGTATACAAAACTGTCCACTTGAAATGGGCAAACGGCAAGATATGTGAATGACACTTCAAGCAGGAAACATGGCGAAGCCTCCTCAGGAAAATGGGCCTGCAGTCTCTACTAACCCTGAAGTTCATCTAGCCTGTGGCCCAAGAACTTCACCCAGGGACGGGTGAAAAATGCTTCTGATCTAAGACGGAGGGGATGTTCGGCGCCGCTTCCTGTCCCGGTCACCATTGAAAACGGGAAGCAGCCAGGGCCCTCAGCAGCGGACTGGATAAATCAGTCCTGGCTCCCTCTGCCACAGAATGCTGCTCGGCGATGAGACAAAGTCCTGACAGACCCCGTTTAGGGAGAGAAGCCCGGCCCCGAAGAGAAGGCGCTGTTCGATAGAGCTGACAGGAAGGTTCTGGAGAGGCGAAGGTTTAAGTGACAGGAATCGGAACACATTGACGGCTGTGGGACAGGTACTGACTGGGAGGGACATGGGGCACCTGCGTGGCATGAATACGGTCCATGTCTCGATCTGGGTCACTACGTAGGTACGGACATGTGCAGAAACCTTAAGCTAAGCTCTTACGACGTGTGTGCTTTTCCTCCTTCCTGTCACCAAAACACTAAGCCAGCATATGTCAGTGTCTTGTTCAAAAGGCTTCTATGGCTCCCGGTGCATCCCGACTAAAACCGAAGCCGCCCTGGGGGCTTCCTTCTGGTTTCCGCCCCCTGCTCTCTCGTGTCCTGTTCCCCTGACGTTTCTCCGGCACCCTGGGCACTTTCCCAGCTGCTCTTCTCTGCCGGGAGCCCTTCCTTAGACACAGCCCGCTCACGCTCTGCCATCACGCAAGTCCGTCCTCAAATGTCACCTCCACGAAAGGGCCTCCCCAGTCGATTGGTTCATTTACCGATTTATTCTTATTGCAATGCTGGGGATGGAACCCAGGGCCAGGCAAGTGCTCTGCCACTGAGCTACTTCCTCAGCCCTTTTTGGGTTGTTTATTTTAATTGTTGTTGTTGTTTTTTGAGACAGAGTCTCACTATGTAGCTGAGACGGACCTGGAACTCACTATGTAGCCCAGGCTGGTCTCGAACTCACTCACAGTGAGCCTCCCGCCTCAGCCTCCTGAGTGCTGTGATTACAGGCGTGCGCCACGACGCCCAGCCTAATTTTATTTTTTAAAATAAAATTTATGTGCATATTTAAGATCTACAGCATGAACTATGTATGTAGATGCAGTAGAATGGAACAAATGAACGTACCTATCATCTCCCATAGCTACCCATTTTTGTTGTTGACTTGTGGCCAAAGCAGCTATAATTTACTCATATAGCAAAACTCCTACACGCAACATGCCACAGTGAACCACAGTCTTCGTGCTGTCTCTTAGGCCTTCTCCATCCTCACCCTGTACATTTCCTACTTGGGGTCCACCAGAGCACTCAGGTTAACACAGCTCATCCTCCATCTCCTCTAGGATCTCTTTCCCCTAATTTCTTTTTCTTCACAGCTCTTACCACTACTACTCACAAAGGTAATGTGTTTATTTATATTTGGTCACTGGCTTAGCGTTTGAGTCCCCCTACCAAAATATAAGGCCCTAGCGGACCTTTGGTTTTCTGCTTGATTTCCAACACCTAGCGTCGTGTCTGGCATGCAGAAGGCGCTTTATACGTGCTGCATATGGGGATGAGTCTCCACCAACACTCAGTGCAATCAGCTCAGATAGTCTGATGTTCTCTGTGGACCTGCCCTTCACCTCCAGTATCTCACCAAAAAAGAAGCCGTGGAGTTTACATGAATTATTTAAAGAGCAGACAGAAAGGGATCAGAATGTCCAGTAGGTGTTGACCTCCTGTCAGGCTGTTACGACAGTCTTGTTTCTTGGGAGGCAAAGCAGATGAAGAAGCAGGGATGTACACAGGCCGGCTGCCTTCCTCCCCTGCAGCTTGGGGCTGTCCCATCTCTGGAGGCGCAGGAGGGAAGGCCCTGGCAGAGCCCATCCTCCCTCCCACGGCCGGCACGAGCTCCCCAGACCAACATGACCATCTCATCACTGCCACTTCAAAACGGGAAGAAAGGGAGGCCCTGTGAGAAGAGAGGCTGCTGGAAGGAAGGGAAGTCTCCTTACTGCCCTGGGCCTGGATGGCTTCCGGTCCCTGCGGTGCACAGCCACCGGCCTGAGTGAGTTCCGCCCTCCTCGGAGGGACAAGCCTCCCTGTGACCAGGAGCTCTGCAGACGTGGCCCTAGAAGGCTGTGGGGCAAGAGTTGGGGCGGGGGAGCCCCGTGGTGTCTCCTCCTAGGGGCTCTGTCTCCAAATCCTGCCACCCTCGAGGCAGAACTTCTCTGCACTTGTCACCCACGTCCCCTGGAATTCCACGCTGAGTCCAAACTCCCAGTGGAAGCCACTGCTCTTTCTAGCCAGGAGCCAGCCTGGATGACCCTGGTTCTGTCAGCTGGATCACTCCGGCCTCAATGCACTAAATGGCCCTGGACTGGACTCCTCATCCAGTGGTTACCCAGTCTCCTGGGACTGGAGCGATCTCAGCAATCGAAGTGACCTGGAGGTCTGGAGAAACAGCCCAGGGAGGGGCCGTGCATCCACAGGCGGATCGGAGGCAGGGCGGAGAGGGCAGCAGACGTGGCCGCTGGCCTCACAGCCCGGTCCTTCCCCAGCCTCCTGGCGTGTGGCCCTTGCAGAGAGCCGCCCTCTCCCAGGGGAGCCACAGGGCTCAGAGGCACTTGGGGGGCTGCAGCCACCCCAGGAGTGGCCAGGGCCAGGATCCAACTGAGGGGACAGAGCACAGATGGGGAAGCACGGCCCGCATCGGGGTGGGACAGCCCGCCACGCTGTGCCATGCGGGGCTCCCGAGGGTCAGGCTGGGGCCAGACTTGCACTCAAACCACCTCACTCACTACCCTCAGAGCACCCCGAGCCTCACTCACACAGGAATCCTCACTTCTAGCTCTGCTTCGGGGACCTTCACTTTGCATGAGGTCAACAGGGGATGTTGGGGGTGTGAGGTAATCAGTCAGCATTGCCCAGCCAACACAGCGTGACCAGAAGGAGTCCATCCTAGAAAGCTGCAATGCCCTTTTCCTCCTCCCATAGTTTATACAACAATAGTGGGTCATATTTCTTGAGCAGCTATTACGTGACAAATTCTCTGCCTTCATCATTTGCATTCATCTCTATAACCCTTTTTCAAGGCAGATGGGATTATTCTCACTGTACAGCTAGGAAAACAAGCTCAGAGTGGTTAAGGCACCTGCTTGACATCACACAGCTGCCAAGTAGAAGAGCTGGGATCCGAACCCCCCACGCCAAAGCCTAGGTGCTTATCCACTCCTCTTGTTCACTGCCGCTCACCCCTCCCTGGGCTGTGGATGGCTGGGTTCTGAGGAGCGCGGGGGGACTGGTGACCACCCAGCCCCTGCCCTCTGGCCCCTGGCGCATTCCCACCGTTCAGCCTCAGAATAAGCAGTGAGCTGCCCAGCCTGTGCCCTGCCAGGCGACTGAGGGGTCACACAGCTTGGTTCGCGCGGGGACAGACATAACCGCCCCTCCGGGAAGCCGGAGCCCGGGCCTCTCTTCCCCACGGGGTGGTCCCGCACGCGCACTAAGGCGCTTTCAGTGTCCAAAGTAAGGAGCAGGGCATTCACTGCCACGGCTTGGGCTGCCCGGCACTGTCCGCTCTCACCGGAGACTCCCAGG